ATATATATATATATATATATATATATATATATATATCAAATCAATTTTTCATATCTCTGTTTGTATATAAGGTATGTTGGCCCCAAATTCAAATCTTCATACGTGTATTTTGCATAATGATGACCATCACATTCCACCATCCTTGCTAATCCCCTTCCCCCTCCCTTTCCCTTCCATCCCTCTTCCCTATAATAGAATTAATCTAATCCTCCATGTTCTCCCTCCCTACTCCACTATGAGTCACCCCCCTTATATCAGAGAAAACATTTGGCATTTGTTTTTTTTTTTTTTTGGTACTGGCTAACTTTACTTAGCATTATCTTCTCCAGTGCCATCCATTTACCTGCAAATACCAATATCATGATGTTTTTCTTATAATGGCTGTATAGTATACTTTTGAAACTGGGTATTAGGATATTTCTAACATTGTTCTTTTTGCCAATGACTGCTTTGGCTATTCAGGGTTTTGTTTAGTTTTTATTTTTGTGATTCCATATTATTTTAGCATTGTTTTTCTAGTTCTGTGAAGAATGTCATTGGCATTTTATGGAGATTGTGATGTATTCATAGATAACTTTCACTAGTAGGACTGTTTTAACGTTGATTCTCTCAATCAATAAACAAGGGAAGTCTCTCCATTTTCTAGAGTCTTTTTCAATTTCTTCAGTGTTTTGTAATTTGCATTGCAGAGGTCTTTCAATCCCTTGGTTAGGTGTATTCCTAGGAATTTCCTTCCTCACTTCCTATCCTCCTTGCTTTCCTTCCCTTTCTTCCCTCTCTTTTTGAAGCCTGTAGGTCTACAAGAAATACACTGATTTTTGTATGATGATTTTATTCCCTTCTACTTTGATGAATTTATCAATTCTAAGAGACTTGGTGGACACTTTAGGGTTTTCTAGCTATGGAATCGTTATCTGCAAACAGGGCAATTTGATTTCCTCCATTCCTGTGCATACCCATTTTATTTCTTTGCCTTGCCTAATAGCTGTGGTTAAAATTTCCAATACTGTGTTGAATAAGAGTGGTAAGAGTAGAAACCCTTGTCTTGTTTCTGATTTCAGAGGAAATGCTTCCAGTTTTCCCCCATTCAGTATGATATTGGCTATGAGTTTGTCAAAGATAGTATTTATCATGTTCAGCTATGATCCTTCTACACCCAATTTATAGTGAAGAGTAGTTGAATTTTATCAAAAGCTTTTTCTCCATCTATTAAAATAATCATGTGATTCTTACCCTTGATTCAATTTATGCAGTGCATTATATTTATTCATTTGCTTTCCTGCCACTTTTCATCATAAGAATGATATGATATCAGTGCAATCTATGATAGTATTGTTCAATCAAACACTAGGTATTAGAATTTGCATGAACTTTCTGCAAACAGAATTTACACAGAATAAGAGAAACAAGATAGTCTGTGCTTGAATACTATGTAATATGACAAAGATGAAAAATGTGTAATGAATACTTAAGTTGGACATGTGTTTTTGAATATACTCTTCATCATCCTTAAATAAAAGGAAAATAAGAATTATCAATATTTTAGGTGAAGGAAATCAAAGAGTTCAAATACTATTGCCACAGCTAAACCACCATTTAGCAAAGCTGAAATACAAAACTAGATTTGTCTTTCTTAAAAGCTCAGAGCAAGTATTCAATTTTTGAAATTTACTGCTGAAGACAGTAGGAATTTTAGAAGAAAGGAGACTTCTTGGTGTCCAGATATGAAAGTATTTTGGGAGAATTGGGAAGATAGAATGTAAATAGTTGTAATTTCTTCTTCTATTGTATAATCTTAGCACAAATTCATATTTCGGTTCCTATAATTTCTCGGTGAAAAATTACCAAATCAAAACATTTTATAGAAATATATATTCTCTAAATAGTTCTTAGCAAACACAAACTGGAATATTGTTTTCAGAGATACTATGGAAGAAATTCTTGTGTGTAGTTTCAGGTGATCGAGACCATATTTTATCACGCTGATAAAATATCTGAATATAATCTGCTTTCATTCTCAGCATATAAATTATAAATTGTAAATATAAAATATAAATTAATATAAATTATATGAAAAATAAAACCTGATTTTGAGAAGAGAACTTTTAGTAATTTTTTTTTTTTCAGTAGACCAGAAAACAATTGGAAAGTTTAGCATTACTAACAGGAAGGTACACTTAATAAGGACAAAGTGCACTTGTGGATCTAATCCACAGAAATGTGATAAATTGAAATATGAAAGAATCCTCTACAGTTTTTGATATCTGATTGTATTTTACTAATTTTATTGAAATTTAACACATTTCAGACTTGGAAACTCTGCTATAGCAGTATCTGTTATTTTATGTTAAGAAAATATTAAAGAAAACTCTGTACAACTGTGGTTCCAAGAAGACTGCAATTATATTTCCCATTTTATAAATTTGGTTTTCAACTTGAATATATAAAGCAAGAATGCCAAAACAGTGCTACTATTACCAAAAAATATACACTCATAAAAATGCTATCATGAGGAGGAAATGGAAAAAATAAAAAGGGTGATGGAAAAGCATTCTTTCAAAAGTTAATAGATGGACAAAAGAGATGCAATTTTTGTCAGTTTATGAGGTTAAATAGATTGTTAAATATAATATAATAAGTTGGAGGGATGGGAAATGTACTGTAGACAAATGTTTTCAAGTCTTTCCACTCCAATATACTAGTAAGTTGAAGTACTTTTAGGTGTATGTATATTTCAGAAACTAGACATTCTGTAAAAACTAATGAATTTTAACTCTGAGCAAAGCCAACTAAAAGCCAAATTACAACATCTTTATTGCTGTGAAATGCCAATTGTATCATGCACCACAACACTTTTCTTTTCTATTTTTGTCTATATTTGGAATTGATGAAAAGTAAAATAAAAATCTGTGGAGTATCATGAAACATGTAGTAATGTTTAATTGATTTCTCAGTTACTTGAATGCATTTTGGTGAAAGGTCATCAGAATGCTAAATTTGTTTACCCATATTTTTCTTTTTCAGTGTACAAATTATAGGAAAGCAGAAACCCAGTGACATTTCTGAAGAGTAAATAATTAAATGATAGTCAGAATTTTATATATTTGAATTGCTTTCATGTAAAGAGCAAATGGGGAGGTGAAAATTACCACAAAATATTTTAGATATGCAATGTATAAAAATACGCATTGGAAGCAACCTTAAGAATAATACCCAAAACTATAATTCTGTAATTTAATGGAAAAAACATCTTTAAATGTTATACATTGACATTTTTCTCTGCTAAACTAAGTTAGTTACCTTTTAAAAAGTTAAGCCATTGGGCTTGGATTGAGGCTCAGTGGTAGAGCGTGCGCCTAGCAAGTGCAAGGCCTGGGGTTCAATCCTCAGCACCACATAAAAATAAATAAATAAAAGTATTATGTCAAACTACAACTAAAAAATAAATAAATAAATATTTAAAAAATTTAAGTCATTTCTTTGATTTGTACAAGTTCCTTTGTAAGATAGATACTAACTTGAGATTTGTTAATATTCAAAATTCTGGACACGACAATGCTATCGGACACCACTACATATTGAGTCTATGTTACCTTATCGCCTTCAGAAAATGTGATGCCATCCACTGCCCTTTTCCAAGTAATTTCTGGGACAGGCTCCCCTTCTGCTTCACAGACGAGCGTGACATGACCATTCTCATATGTAGTCTCATTTTTAAGCTGTATTATGTGAGGCTGTACTGTAAAAAATGTATACATTACTCAATTGATATTGGAAGAAGACAATAATTGTTCGAACTTAATATGGTTAATGGGCTATTTAGTCGATGTTAATACAATACAAGGTTATTAACTATAGCAGCTTACAGTGGCATGCTTTACTTTACAAGAGTACCAATAGAGTGGAAAAGAGCAGAGAAAGAACTCTGAATATAAGACTCATTTATTATCATTAAAATGTGTGAGGTAGCTTAGAGACCAACATAAAAATTATAATTCTTTTCAAAAAGTGAACATACTCATTTCTTTCTTAAAGTCACAAATTTAAATTTCCTCTTTTAAAGCAGTATGTATATAGAGGTATTGCTTTAAGAATGTATTGATTATTAAACTAATTATTTCTTTGTATCTACTACAAAAATATTTTTTATATTAATTTCAATTCTTAATATTTAAAAATATGCTTCTCTGTAAGTATACATAGTATCCAAGAAATTTTTTTGAAGTATGTATTATTTCTTATTTTTTCCCTTCTTTAGATACAAAATGGATAAAAGCCTAAAAGTCAATACTTGTTTTTCAGTACAACAAATATTTTAATATATTTGACTATTACAAAAATAAAAAAAGAGTTGCTCTTAATCTCAGAAAATAACATTCCTGATACCAGAAATACGGCATATAGAATTTTCAAGAATTCACTATTCTATTGTGTGTAATGTATTTAGTTAGTTACTCTTTCCAGATTACTTTGTGTTAAAGGAACACAAACTTATTTAGCGGTATTAAAAAAGAGATTACAACCCTGATGTAACATTTTATTATTTCTTATTTGAAAGGATGAAAACATCAGAAACTTTTTTTTTATCTCTGTATTCTCACTGGTATCCTAATAAAAAAAAAGAAGCAACAAAATAATATTTCATATGAATCCATAGAGGCATCTGAGAATATTATATTTGTGAATTCTGTCATATAGTACCATTTCTAATTATTTTCTTACTGAGTAATATTTATGTAGTGTAGATTTTAAAGAAAAATAACAAAATTGATAAACCCTAGCTAAGCTAATGAAGATAAAGAGAAAACTCAAATTACTAAAATTCATGATGAAGAGGAAAATATCATCATGGACACTATTGAAATACAGACAATAATCAGAAACTATTTTGAAAATTTCTACTCCAACAATTTTTTAAGAGGTAAACATTTTCTGTAATCAGTGACAAAACTTCTGAAATGGAAATGAGAAAAAACACCACATTCACAATATCCTCAAAAAAAAAAAAAAACAAAAACTTGGGAATCAACCTAACAAAAGAGGTGAAAGATTTATACAATGAAAACTACAGAACCCTAAAGAGAGAAATAGAAGAAAATCTTAGAAGATGGAAAAATATAACCTGTTCATGGATAGGCAGAACTAACATCATCAAAATGGTGATATTACCAAAAGTTCTCTATAGGTTTAATGCAATGCCAATCAAACTCCCAATTGCATTTCTTGTAGAAATAGATAAAGCAATCATGAAATTCACATGGAAAAATAAAAGACCCAGAATAGCAAAAATAACTCTAAGCAGGAAGTGTGAATCAGGCGGTATAGCGATACCAGACTTCAAACTATACTACACAGCAATAGTAACAAAAACAGCATGGTACTGGTACCAAAACAGGCAGGTGGACCAATGGTACAGAATAGAGGACACAGAAACCGATCCACAAAATTACAACTATCTTATATTTGATAAAGGGGCTAGAAGCATGCAATGGAGGAAGGATAGCATCTTCAACAAATGGTGCTGGGAAAACTGGAAATCCATATGCAACAAAATGAAACTAAATCCCCTTCTCTCGCCATGCACAAAAGTTAACTAAAAATGGATCAAGGAGCTTGATATCAAATCAGAGACTCTGCATCTGATAAAAGAAAAAGTTGGCTCCGATCTACATATTGTGGGGTCGGGCTCCAAATTCCTTAATAGGACACACATAGCACAAGAGTTAATAACTAGAATCAACAAATGGGACTTACTTAAACTTAAAAGTTTTTTCTCAGCAAAAGAAACAATAAGAGAGGTAAACAGGGAGCCTAAATCATGGGAACAAATTTTTACTCCTCACACTTCAGATAGAGCCCTAATATCCAGAGTATACAAAGAACTCAAAAAATTAAACAATAAGATAACAAATAACCCAATCAACAAATGGGTGAAGGACCTGAACAGACACTTCTCAGAGGAGGACATACAATCAATCAACAAGTACATGAAAAAATGCTCACCATCTCTAGCAGTCAGAGAAATGCAAATCAAAACCACCCTAAGATACCATCTCACTCCAGTAAGATTGGCAGCCATTATGAAGTCAAACAACAACAAGTGCTGGCGAGGATGTGGAGAAAAGGGTACACTTGTACATTGCTGGTGGGACTGCAAATTGGTATAGCCAATTTGGAAAGCAGTATGGACATTCCTGGGAAAGCTGGGAATGGAACCACCATTTGACCCAGCTATTGCCCTTCTGGGACTATTCCCTGAAGACCTTAAAAGAGCATACTATAGGGATACTTCTACATCAATGTTCATAGCAGCACAATTCACAATAGCTAGACTGTGGAACCAACCTAGATGCCCTTCAATAGATGAATGGATAAAAAAAATGTGGCATTTATACACAATGGAGTATTACTCAGCACTAAAAAAAGACAAAATCATAGAATTTGCAGGGAAATGGATGGCACTAGAGCAGATTATGCTAAGTGAAGCTAGCCAATCCCTAAAAAACAAATGCCAAATGTCATCTTTGATATAAGGAGAGCAACTAAGAACAGAATAGGGAGGAAGAACATGATAAGAAGATCACTATTAAACAGGGTCGAGAGGGGGGAGGGAAACAGAGAGAGAAGAGAAATTTCATGGTAAAGGAAGGAGACCCTCATTTTTATAAAAAATTACATGTAAGAGGAAGTGAGGGGAAAGGAGAAAAAGAACGAGAGAAATGAATTACAGTAGATGGGGTAGAGAGAGAAGATGGGAGGAGAGGGGAGGGGAGGTGAGGGGGGATAGTAGAGATTAGGAATGGCAGCAGAATACAACAGACACTAATATGGCAGTATGTAAAAAAGTGGATGTTGAACCGATGTGAATCTGTAACATGTATACGGGGTAAAAATGGGAGTTCATAATCTGCTTGAATCAAATGTATGAAATATGATATGTCAAGAGCTTTGTAATGTTTTGAACAACTAATAATAAAAAAAAGATAAAAAAAGAGGTAAACACTTGGGAACTTTTCATAATTTAAGGACTTCCTATGATTTTGAATAGATTTGTATTTATTTCCTCTTTCCTCTATGTGAGCAATCTCCGGCCCTTAGTTTTTTCCTCTTTCTCCTCATTAAAGACTTGTTTAACATCACCTTAACATTGCTCTTTTTGCTAACTTTCCAACACTCTGATATCCAAAATTATAGTCCTTTAAAAACAATGTTCTCCAATTTGTCCAGTTTCATATGCTTTTTGAAGCATCTTATTAGGCAAATTTTATTTTTTTTAAATTTAATATAGTTTGGAATAGTTATTTGTTTCTCCCCAAAAGAATATAAGCATTCATGAAATTTTCTCTAGTTTGAAAAGCACTTTTATTATTATGGTGGCACAACTGGGAAGAGAGTGGTCCCTCCGCTAGTATTTATTCTACAGTATTAAAAAAGTGATTATAACTCTGATGTAACATTTTATCATTTCTTTGGGGTTAATATAAGTGGGACCCTTATATCTGTCAACTGCTAATGCTAGTCATTCTTAATCATTCTTAATCTTAGAGATTTCAGCCTTCTTCACTTTCCTTTTCTTTGTTGTGAAAACATTTTGGTGAGTATTGCCAAAGATGGAGAGATACTAAATGTTAGTAGAGAATGTAATTTTTTTCACTTTTTAAAGTGAAAAATCATATAACTATCAAACGTCAAATTTTCTTTCTTGTTCAAGTATAATAAAAGGTAAATCAAAAGTTTTCTAAAATAATACTAACTCTCTATGTTCTATCCACTTCCAAGGTAAACATTATATCTCTTGCTAAATATGAAGGATATTTACATATTTTATTTTAGTAAAATGAAAACAGATATTTAGTTATAGTTCAATCAATGTTTAGCTTAATGTTTCTAAATCATAGCCTTCATAATGTAATTTTTTTAATACCAGATATTGAATCTAGGATAGCTTAACTGCTGAGTCACATCCACAGCCCTTTTTATTTTCTATTTTGAGACAGGTCTCACTAAGTTGCTTAGGGTCTCACTAACTTGCTGAGGCTGGCTATGAATGTACGATCCTCCTACCTCAGCCTATGGAACTCCTGGGACTCTTGGGGTTTCATGTGAATTTTTTTTAAGTATAGTGAATAGAAAATAGATCCCAATATGAAATTTAAGGTTCATGAAGATTAACCCTCATAGAGATATAAAACATTACAGAATCCATCGAAGCAATTTAATTTTTTTTGTTGTTCAGATTCAGTTATGATTCAGCTAATATTCTATAAAAATTTAAATGGGTGATTTGGTGTAATTCTTAAGACAATTTTATTTGGTAGCTGAAATTTGAAAATACATTTCAGAGGGGAGCAAATTATATAAGACCAAATTTAATTATGGAAATTTAAATGGTTTTCATTAACAGCGGAGTAGAAGTTTACTCAGGCACCCCTCTAGACATCTCAGACTTAGGCAATATGCTATAATACTTACCAAAGACTTGGAGAAATGCCTGCTTTTCATCTTCTCCTGCCTTATTTGTGGCCCTGCAGACATAAGGCCCTCCATCACTATTGATTATGTTCCTGACAGTGAGTTCTGTATTGCTTCCTTTCAAAAGGTACTTTTCACTTTCTTCAATGAGCTTGCCATTCCTAAAGAAGAAAAAGAAGGTTGTTCTTCATAAATTTGTATTCATAACCCAGGAGATCATAATCAACTTTTTGATCTATAGGCATCAATTATTTCATGGCTATTGTCAATGATAGACAGTGATATAGTCCAATCAAAAGTATGTTTTAGTACTCCAGTAATTTAATCTGTAAATAATAAAATTATGCTTAAAATTGGTTTTGACTTTAGAGACAAGAAATCCATTGGGCAATGTTGAAATCTTGACTTTAGTCAGTTTACAAAAGCATATTTGTTCAATTTGAACTTTGATTATTAGCAAAAACTCAGTTTTCTTTGGTTATTTTTAATCCCTTCACACACTATAAGTTGGTGAGCCAACACAGGTGGGACACATTTTTAAAAATAATTTCTATGGAAAATTTATTTAAATAAATTCCAATGTAAGTACAATATAAACACATCAAAAATTTTTATTGTATATAAGTACTATCAATACATTAATGAAAAACTCAAGTGAAAGCACAACTAATCAGAAATATTATGCTGGATATAATTTAATTAATGAAGGAAAATAGGAAGTTTTATGTTTCCTTTTAGACACAAATAATTAAAATTTTCCAATTCTTTTTTATTCACAAATAACATTTATTTAATAAATATTTTCATTTTTTTATTTGTTTTAATTAGTTATATATGACTGTGGAATGCATTTATGTACTTTGATATATCATACATTAATGGGGTATAATTTCTCACTTTTCTGATTTTACATGTAATAGAATCACATTAATCATGCAGTTTTTATACAATGAAATAAATCTAATTCTGCTCTAAGTGTGGTATATATAACCTTTCAAGTATTTTCTACTAGACTGTATAATAGGAGATATTTTAGATATATTAAAACTCTGAAACATTTCTACAATTTCCCTTATTAGTTGAAAAACTTTTTATGTATTCTCTTTGCTTCTTTTTTTTATTATCCTCATTCTCCTTTACCTCATTCTTTTCTTTATTTTTCTTCTTTGCTTTTCTTCCTAGTACAAAAATATAGTGGTTTGAATATCTGAATTGATCTTAGGACTTACTAACATAAAATGTTTAGGATTTGTATAAGTCAGTGGGAATATTTACTTTTTCATATAAATTAGAAACTAAAAATTTTATTAAAATATTTCCAAAATTAAACAAAGCATTTCTATGATATATCATAAATATTTGAAGTAAATTCTGATTACATTTTCCAGTAAACAATGACACATATTCTAATAAAATTCTTATTCTTTTGTGACTCAATAACATCATTTTTCCCAGTTTCTTATGACATCTCTACATATATACTAGGAAGTGTGCATTTCCAAGAGAAGTAGAAATCCTTAAAGTTAAAATAATAATAATGTGCATATAGTATTCTGTAGTTTTATTTGTATTTTCCAAATGTTTAAGTGATAAATATGCAATGTTATATACAAACTTTATTATGAAATAGAAGAGGAGGAAATACGTCACTGTTCAGTCTATAAGGCCAACATTGCCTTGAGGTTTAACTATTCAAGAATGGGAAAATAATAATATTATATTTCTCATAGTCATTAATTCAACAATTCTTAACATTATTGTCATATCTATCACAACGATACATAAAAATATAACATATCTTAAGTGGGTTTTAAACAAGGAATATAAGGAAGCCCTAACATTTGAAAATCAATGGAACTTATTAGATTAATGGGCTAACAATAAAAGTGTATAGAGTATTTTCAGTAGATAGAAAACAACTATTTGAAGGGAATGAAGGGAGAGATGTAGAATTGCTGCTTTTCCTCTCACTTATTTAAATACCACTTATTTATTTCTGATTATATTTGTGAAATATTCTTATAATTCCTCAATTTTTATTCCTTGACTATCTTCTTTACTTCTATCAAATGGCTCTTCTCTCCCAAAATCAAACTTTGATTCCTTAAGTCCTCTAAGTTACTGTATCTGAAGATAGGGCCATTAAGGACATAATTAAGGTTAACTGAGATTACATGGGGCAACTTATCCATGATGGAACAGGTGCACTTAAAAGAAGAGGAAGAGATACTAGAGATCTTTTTCAAAGTCTTTCCAGACAGTGGAGAGAGCATATGACAATAAAGGAGACAATGTATAAGCCACTAAGAGAGAGCTATCAGAAACCAACCCTGCTGGTACTTTGACCTTGGATGTCTGTCTACATCTACAAATAAAAAGCACAAAAATAAAAACTTCCCCTTAAAACTAATGTCATCTCTATAGACGTTATGACCACATACTCCCTTTCTCCTAATACATACTTTATATCCAGAGGCTAAAATGACTATTTACATTGAAAGTAATTATTTTTCCATCCTACTCAATTGAAGAAAATAATGACACATGAAGCTACTAAGATGAAAAATTATAGATATAAATTACAGTTTATTTCCTCTGACTCTGCCTCCTCTTGTCCCTATGATTATTATTTTTCTGATTAAATATAAGAAAACAATTTTGAATACATATGAAACTTTTTAAAATCTAAGTAAATAAGTTTCTTTGGAAATATAAAATTATTAAAATAATATTCTGTGACAATATTTTTTCATCATAATAGTTGACCTGAAAGGTTTTCTGTGATGCAGTTACATCTCACATAAGTAAACTGTTAAAGAATAGATTTAGAATACAAATTTTACTCATATGATAGGTTGAACAGTTTTAAAATGACAAATTAAACTCATGAAGTTTTAACTTTGCATAATTACCTTTTATCTACACATAAATAAAATATACAATTAATTACATTATAATAAAAAGTACACTTATAACAATGTGGCCTGCAACACTGGGATATCTATTTCAAGACCCACTAGTTGTTAACATTAAAAGGTATGATTAGTTACAAGATTCCTAGGCCCATTCTAGCCAGAAACATGCCCTCGAAGACAGAATAAGCATCATGAGGGCAGCCTTGGACTCAAAATCAGAGCACAACACACTGCTTATCTCTTTAGCAATTAACCTCAGGAATTGAACTGAAAACAGTAGCCTTATTAATTTTTAGATAAAATTAAAAATATTGCTTTAGTTCTTGACAAAACAATTAAAAATCCAAATAGTATTCCATGAGCCAAAGGACACATGCATGCATAACCTACCTTGACCAGGAGATGGTAGGTTCTGGAGAGCCTGAAGCCCTGCAGGACAATGTCATCTCTTCTCCTCTCTCTGCTGTGGCATTAAATGATTTCTGAGGCATTGTGATTGCTGGTGGCACTGAAAGACAGATAGACATAGAATAAATAGAGACAAAAACGTTTGAACCAACACCATTCTAAGACTTTTTCTCCCCTTTTTTCTAACTGCTAAACATTAAAAATTGATGTTAAATTCTAGTTTAATAATAAAAGAATATTAATGTCCACTGCTATGCATTCTTATGTAGAATAATTAGAAAATATTTATAATGTTGTTTTATTTTTTCTTAATCTATTAAAACAATGAACTATATGTTTTAACAAGCACATACACTTTTATAAAATGTCTCACAAGACGACAATACCATCCTTACTTAATCAATACTGATATTTAATTTAAGCATAAATGGATTTCCTATTTGGTTTCTCATTGCTATTTGTAATGCCATAAGCAATCATTCACTGCTTTAAGACAGGGCTTTCAAATTAGGTGTCAAAGCATAATGTTCTTTCTGATTAACTGCACTTAATTTCTTCAAACAACTATAAAACATTTTATGAAGAGAAACTGCTTAAACCATAGAGAGTATGAAAATAGATTTTCATGAACAATTCAGTTTTAAAATTAAGCATCCCCAATTTCTAACTAATTACATTGCAAAAACTGCACATGCTGCAAATTTTGGACAGGTTGAAACTGTTACTGAAATGCACTGTTGGCAATAAAAAAGTTACTAACATCCATAACAGAAGCTAAATTTCAAAGTAAAGCATAAATTGTAACTCAGTACACAATAGTTTCATTTATTAAATTGAATGTGATAAATTAATATTAGAAATTAATTCTCCTAATAAATAAATTTATTTTTACATATCCAAACAACATGGCCAGATAGGTACTTATAAGTTTAATTATAATTAAATATCTCTATAATAGCATTATGTTATTTTCAGGTCAGTAACTATGTTTCATTAGCTCACTGATAGTGAGAATAATAAGTTAAATGTATCGCAATCACTAAACACAACAAATCAAGTTTCTGAATTTACGATGTAGATATGAGGAACATTATCTGACATGTTATCTCTAAAATAATAATGATGAATGGTGTTTAAAAAGATGACTTTTTTAATATATTAATGCTTAATTTTAAGTACACTGCTCTTTGACTATCTGTATGATATTTTTTCTTCCTGGTGATAGTAATAAAAAACACAATTTAATAAAAATGCATTGATTTGCTTTTTCTAATTTATAAAGAGCACTATTACTATTTGTATTATAAAAGTAAAGATTTTCAATACATTAAGGAATTAAAATAAAAGTGAACTTTTAGCAGAAATTCTCTCTAACATCAAATATAAATAGACACTTCCAAATTGATAATGAGGTGCTTCAGTTCTTGTTCTGAAGCTGCCATTCACTGGAAAACTTTAATTCTTTAACATCATTTTCTTGTTTATAAAGTAAAGTAAGCTAGAAGATCTATAAAAACTGACCACTTCAATAGTTTTAGCTTATGTTATCTTAAATCTTCTAATAAAACTTCTTCTCTTAACTTAGTGTAGGTTAGCAGAACACTACAAATATTTTATGTTCATACAATTTTGTGAAAAGAAACTCTCCAAATAGTCTGTAAAATAATAATATCAAAATCTGAGGAGGTTTTTCATTAGTTCTAATGCCAAGGTGTTCAGGGAGTTTAATACCCACTGTTTTGGACTATGGAAATCATTTTTATGTATAATATTATTTTATTGATTATAAATTCCCCAGTGGAATTAAGCAATATTAAAAGTTATTGCAATTCTATTTCATTCGGTCTTCTTGTTTTCTCATAAATCCTATGCCTCTCTATTTTTACTTTTTAAAAACACTTTACTTCAAATTTGACTGCAACAGAAATATTCTGTTTTAATACACTTACTGATATTTGTATTCTATATCTGTTACTTTGTCAAAACTTCCTGGAAACAAATCCATTTTTATTCTTTAGTTGCTAGAAATAGGGCAGGTGTTTAAAAAGCCTCATAACTTTCAACAATATGAAGGCTTTGGTTACCTTCAAGTTATCATTGCCCTCATTGCTCCAGAGACACCACTAATTTAACAGTTTAATTTCCCTTTCTTCAAAAATGGCTCCAGCTATTTCATATGTCTTCCATGTCTTGTAAGCATTTCTCTACCCACTTTTCCTCAAATATTCCTCGGAAGATGGATGTCACCCTAACCAAGGGATACCTAAGTATGTCACAGTTTTAGTAGTTCAGACTAACCAACATCCATTAATTCCCCCAAATTTATTCTGGCTAGCAATAACTAATCTCATTCTGCCACAGGCAGAAAATTACTATTTTATAATGATTTCTTTTCAGTTCTAAATATATATCAGAGACTAAATTCACACATAGATAGTTTATCTATCTGAGGTCCACTAAAAAGTCACCTCACAATTATTTTACATCATTACTCTCTCTTTAAAATCTTCAGACTATGTAGCTATTAGAAAATCACAAAAATAACTCAGTCCTTTACCAAGAAGAGACATGGACCAGTTTAATAATAAAATATCTTGTTGCTTTTACTTTTTGTTTTGCCATTCTCAGTCTACATGCAAAGAAAATTAGTTTCTTTTCTTAGGTCTTCCCATAAATTAATTATCACATGATCCCTTCCATTGCATTTAAGTATTGAAGATAAAAAAGTGAAAAAATTCAGAAACCACATTTGTAAAACTAATTCCTATTATTCAATGAACTTACATTTTTTGAATTTTTCATAAATTCAGTTTCTTATAATATTATGGCATAAAGAATTTTAATATTATGTAGATGCTTTTTTGTAATGAGGTATTTCCATTATAGAGATCACATTATCATTAGTTTGATCAAATAACTGGTATTTTCCAATGGTTATATTAGGCTTTAACATAATTATTGTATCTACATTTTTTGTCTCTCAATTTCATCTGCTTTGCTTTTTACTACTTTCTAAAATGCTGTAATATGATCTAACACCTCTAAATTTTCATTAATAATAGTTCTGGCTCTTGAAATAATATTCCATTTCTCACTTACAGAGTTGCTTAATTTAAATTTCTATTTAACAGGAATATATTTTCAACTAAAGAAACATAATTTAAGGACTATTAAGTATCAAATTATGGACAAAAAAATAATTCTACAACTTCAGTTTGAAAGACAGTACATCTCCAAGGTTAAACTAAACATATATAGTTAATCCTTCTAGAAAACTGCAGATGAGTTGTTTGCGATTTTGAGTATCAGCAGTTAAAATTTTTGTCTTGCAATAGGATTTAATCAATATATCTTTACATACTTGATTGAGAATGGTAACAAACACTTTCCAAGTATTAATTGCTCATTTGTGAAAACATTAAAGTGGTGATATAATGATGATGATATGTTGAGCACTGAGTTTTAAAATCAAATCTATCTGAAGAAAACAGTAAGATCTTTGATTCGACCAGATTACAAGATAATGAAGATCAAGATAACTCATTACATTGATTGAGAAAAAGGCATTAAAGGAAAAACATTGCATTGGCATTTTAAATTCCATTCTTAGTGATCTCTGAGAAGTTGACAATTCAATAAAATAAGTGTTGCTTTCAGTGGACATAAATATAAAAGTAAACACAATGATAACAGATGATCTGTGGCATTTTCATAATCATGATCTGCATTTTACAAATGTTCACTAAATTAATCTGATTTATATGCTCTTCTTTAAAATTGACTTATAAAATAGTTCAACTTCACAGGTTCAAAACAAAGTAAAAATTTAAGCAATTTAACCTCTTTCTTCCTTAGTTACTTTTATTACTTGAATTGTCTAGGCAAATATTAATCCAAGTTTTATTCTTCCTTCTTCCTGCTTCAAAATATACCTCTTTCTGTATAATAATCCATGTGAGAGATGATATGTAAAGAACTTCCTCACTTTTTTTCAAACTGTGTAGTATTCCATACCATCTGGATACACTGTTGGGCATGTTAGGTTACCTTGCTAAACACAGCCAAATACATATATTTTACAACATGTATTCATTTTAGGAAGTTCTGACTTAAGCTATCCAGAAGTGCAATTTGGAGGTCACCTACAGCAGAAATTCTCAAAGTATGTTTGAAGAAACCCCAAGGTCTCCAACACCCTTTCAGAGGACTCTGGGGCCCTCTCTTTAGCAGTCACATATCTGTGGGCAGATGAATTTTCTCCTGCAAAAGTCAATTATTGACCTTGCCAATGGAGAAAAAATTCAATAACCTCTTTATCTGAAAGAGTGTTCAGGTTCAAAAGTATATAACGAAATATTGAATTTGGTAGCACATTGCAATGTCTACCTTTTATCTGCTAAGTCACAATAAATTCATATTCAAAACTACATAAAAAGGTCAAATCTGAGCCATCTTGGCAGTGCCAATGTAGCCTGATCTGTACCCCAAAGTGGATGGTGGCCAAGCATGCCCAGGGGACTGCATAGGGTGGGACACTTGATGTTACAGGAGCAAAACAAAGATAACAGCCATGTAGTAATTAAATATTGATCACAAAAGATGGCATTTATTTTTATAGAATTTTTAAATAACAAAGGATAAAATGTTCATAACTTATAATTCTAAAACAGAAAAATATAAATTTTGTATATGAAAGCTAAATAAAGACTCTCTCAAAGAAATAAAGTAGGAAAAGATGTGCACATGAGATGAGAGAAAACAAACTGAAGTAATGGCTTTAAACCCTATCCAATCAATATAATAACATATTTAATGTAAATTATATAAATGTTCTAATTCAAAGTCAGAAAATGTCAGTATAGATGAAAAAAATAAAACTCATCTGTATATTTCTTATGAAAGGTCACTTTAAAAATCAAGAAACATTTAGGTTAAAATTAAATGGAAAGGAATAGACATTCCATGAGACCCCTAATAGGAAAACTGGATGGGTGAAATACAGAAGTATCATTGAAAGATTTCAGAGCAAAGAATTTTATCAGGAATAAACAGTCATTTCCTAATGATAAAGAAGTTAGCACAACAAGAACTCATAAAAAT